CCCCCCCCCCCCTAATTTGTTCAAGGTATGGTGGTTTGACCCCTTTTCGGCTTTCAGTACATCATATTGTATATCTTTAATGAAAATTGCATAAACTAGATGAATTTCTAGTAATTTTCTACGATATTATTTATCATTTGAAAAAATACCATGCATCTGATTTAAATTGTTTCCTATTTGAAAAAGCGCGCCTTCTTTAACTTTAATTTACCTCCCTTTATTTCACGTAGCAACGCAAATAAAAAACTGCCATTCTTTGCTGCATATCAATTTTTTTCCCCGATAAAAATATATATCATGCAACATAATCAAATTTACAAATTGGGAGACAATCAAGGTGTTCCAACCGTTGGATAGTATTAAAAAAAATAATGAAAGGATGGCATGATTACAAGTTTGAACCCTGACGACACTGAAAATCGAAGATTCACGCATTTACCTATCATATGAAGATACGATGAGGTGATAAACTTAACAATTAATAATTTACCTGATTCATTATCATATTCACAGTATGTTGACACGTCTTAGTTCGTCTGTGCTAGCTCATTTCAAACAAGCAAAACAATTACAGCACCATCCGTTTTTCTTTACCGATCGCCTCTAGTCAGGAGAGCGCACTGTTTACAGGGGAGGTAATATTTTGTCACCAGTTCGTGCACTGAATAAGGCTTCACATTAGTGACGTCATCTTGTTATAGAAATGAGAAAGCAGTTTGACATTAGTTAGATTGGCTATAAACACAAGAATATCAGAGGATGTTTTTCATCAATTAAAATGGCTTTAGATACAAGAATATAAGAGGGTGTTTTTTATCTGTTAGAATGGCTTCATATGCAAGAGTATCAGAGGGTGTTTTTCATCAGCCAGAATGGCTTTAGATACAAGATTATCAGAAGGTGTTTTTCATCAGTAAGAATGGCTTAAGATACAAGAGTATCACCGAATGTTTTCATAAGTAAGAATGGCTTTAGACACAAGAGTATCAGGGGATGTTTTTTATAAGTTAGATTGGCTTTAGATACAAGAGTATCAGAGGGTGTTTTTTATAAGTTAGAATGGCTTTAGATGCAATAGTATCAGAGGGTGTTTTTTCATAAATTAGAATGGCTTTAGAAACAAGAGTATCAGAGGGTATTTTTCATCACTCAGAATTGCTTTAGTTACAAGAGTATCAGAGGGTGTTTTCATAAGTTAGAATGGCTTTAGATGCAAGAGTATCAGCGGGTGTTTTTATAAGTTAGAATGATTTTAGATGAAATGTATCATAGGATGTTTTCCATAAGTTAGTATGGCTTTAGATACAAGAGTATCAGAGGATGTTTTATAAGGTATATAGCTTTAGATGCTAGAGTATCAGTGGGTGTTTTTCATAAGTTAGAATAGCTTTAAATACAAAAGTATCAGTGGGTGTTTTTCATAAATTAGAATGGCTTTAGATACAAGAGTATCAGAGGGTGTTTTTGTTAAGTTTGAATGCCTTTAGATACAAGAGTATCAGAGGGTGTTTTTGTTAAGTTTGAATGCCTTTCGATACAAGAGTATCAAAGGGTGTTTTTCATAAGTTAGTATGGCTTTAGATACATGAGGATTAGAGGATGATTTCCTCGGTGAGAATGGCTTTAGATACAAGAGGATTAGAGGATGATTTCTTCGATGAGAATAGCTTTAGATACAAGAGGATTAGAGGATGATTTCTTCGGTGAGAATAGCTTAAGATACAAGAGGATTAGAGGATGATTTCCTCGGTAAGAATAGCTTTAGATACAAGAGGATTAGAGGATGATTTCCTCGGTGAGAATAGCTTTAGATACAAGAGGATTAGAGGATGATTTCCTCGGTGAGAATAGCTTTAGATACAAGAGGATTAGAGGATGATTTCCTCGGTGAGAATAGCTTTAGATACAAGAGGATTAGAGGATGATTTCCTCGGTGAGAATAGCTTTAGATACAAGAGGATTAGAGGATGATTTCCTCGGTGAGAATAGCTTTAGATACAAGAGGATTAGAGGATGATTTCCTCGGTGATAATAGCTTTAGATACAAGAGGATTAGAGGATGATTTCCTCGGTGAGAATAGCTTTAGATACAAGAGGATTAGAGGATGATTTCCTCGGTGAGAATAGCTTAAGATGCATGCATAACAGGAGACAGTTCATGCGATTCCTTCAGAATCTGTTTGGTTAATTGATTTGTCTATTCCAATTCGATTTACGAGATTTGAAACAATTGTAAACTGCTGTAGCCTCAATAAGATACTAGAGGATATGAGGTTGTTATTCATTAGTTAGAATGACTTTAGATTCAAGAGTATTAGAGGATATTTTTCATCAGTGCGAATGGCTTTAGTTGCACGAGTATCAGAGCACTTTCAACAGTTACAATGGCTTCAGATACAAGAGTATCAGAGGATGTTTTATTTTTATTAATTGCGGCTTCCCAATTATGAACTTTCCATTTTCATGTAGCAACATTAATTCCAACAGCGCCTGCATATGGATCACAGATCTTTTTGTTGATATTCAACTTTATATATTTATATATTTGGCTTTATAACTATTTTGATCTGAGCGTCACTGATGAGTCTTATGTAGACGAAATGGGCGTCTGGCGTATTAAATTATAATCCTGGCACCTTTGATAACTATTGATACGATATTCTATAGCTGGCATTTCCTATCATGATTTTCAGAGTTGCTACTTACAAGGAAGCTATTGAACCAATAGTTCCAAGTGGTGAAGCTAAAATCATTCCTTCGAATTTTTTACGGACGTCATCACGATTTGGTTGACCGCTATGGAATATCTCTTATAATTATAGGTGTTTATTTACATCACAGATGTTCCGTCATCCTGAATCATGTGTGAACAAAAATTTACAAATACCGAGACAGCAACCCAACGATTTCAATTACTACCACAAGACAACTAGATTGTAACATACATTGTATATCAAAAGACATGTGTCTTTACAATATATCAAGCTCTTAACCGTACATAGTCTGTAAAAAAGAGATTTATTAAAGATGTGCCAATAAAACAATCGAGATAACTGTGAATGTTTATTCCCAAAGTCCTATATCCATACACCACATTTGATGTAAACTTGACCATATTTAAGGTTTCAAGTGGTATTTTGTTACACCAGCAGTTGTTGAATTTGTCCTAGACTAGCGTTTTCATTCCCACTTCCAGATGCGAGGAAACCCTTTATTTGGGTTGCAGGGAAGTTAAATGTCACCACTTTGAGAACACTTACACCGTGCAAAATGAAACAACACTTGAACTGGGTGATTTAATGACTCCAATCTAAGAGTTCAAAAACATGTTTGGTGCGCTATTTCCCTAGAAATGGCCATTAAAGTTTAAACGTTATTATCAGTTAACTCATTTTTACAGTGTATGCTTATGACAACAGAGGCTTCCGATACAGCGTTTCTCAGATGCACGTGAGAGACAAAAATTCGAACCACAGTGTTGCCCAAAGTTCAGATGACAGTGTGTCTGTTGAAGTCAATGATTCACACCGGATACGAAGTAATTCCGACACTGACAGTGAAAGCGGAAAAGACGAAACGTATGACCTAAAGAAAAAACCAGATGGAGACGGCGAAGACGCCGCTTTATTAGGAGAGGGTGTTAAATTCAGGAATAAACCTAAAAAAGAACATCTTTGTTTGGGTAAGTTGAACTGTAGTAGTTGCAATGCATATACAATAATTGTCGAATTCTTTGCTTTCTTGTGTAGACTCAGTTTTATACTATTGATTTCCAAGTACGTCTATTAGAATCCGAGTGCTTGATTTAATATGCGATTTGGAAACAACCTGGTTATGTTTATATTCATCTATTTGTATGTTCCATGCTTATTGTATATTATGTTCATTATGTCACCAATCATCTTTAATATCTATATGACAATAAAACATTTGAATTTGAACTATTATATACATAGCTGCAGTTCGACTATGTTAAATTAAGTGTACTCTACTTTGTAAATGAAATGAATGATTTTATAAAACAAAATAGGTGAATAAAAAATAGAATTTAGATAACATGATGAAATAAAATTATGAAAATAAAGCTGTAAAACATTTTTGATTTTTCAAATAAATTGCAGGTTGTCCTGAAGGAATATGTAGATTCATTGGGAAACATTGCTACAGTTTCTTCACGGGACCAGCAGATTCATATACGCCTATTAAAACAGCACTTGGATTTCCGTTTGGTTTTCTGTTAGCATATGGTAAGTCTTTATTAAATATAGGGAGATGTGTTTTGATTGCCAATAAATCTTACGATGTATCAGACTTTTGGTAACAGTCTTATGAAGGGAGGGAGAGATACCAAAGGAACATTTAAACTCATAAGTCGAAAATAAACTGACAACGCCATGGCAAAAAAGAAAAGGACAAAAAGAAAAATAACAAATAAACAATATACAAAACTATATAAAATATATATATTTAGGGCAAAACATAACAAACATTTATAGTGACTGAAGAATGTCATACTTGGGGAACTGGAACTTATAACATATATTCTGGATTGAAATAAAGTCTTTAAATAGCGGACAGGTTTGAGGTAGGCCTAACTTGGGATAAAACAATTTGAAAAAAATCTGCCATTGTCAAGTTTAACCCAATAATACCTAGTAATAGTTAACAAACACAGCGCCAATGACTTAATTTCGAAACATACTTGAACAATTGTGTAATATATTTGCCTTATAATAATACAATCCAGTTTCCATAACTAATATATTAACAAGTACATCGTTTGATGGTCAGACTACAGAATGACAATATGTGTATAAGAAATTTAATTGAACTCTTAAGTTATGTTTATTTAAGAACGTGAAGACATGGGAGAGTTGCTGATCTGTCAATTATAATTACTGTAACAGATGATACGATAATAAAGTGCGGTGAACTTTATAACACTTTGCATATGTTTGAATTTGTTTACACGTGTTATTTCTTTGTGTTTAGGTCTTTATTATGCTTTGATTGTACCTATGCAACTTGAAGAAAAGACAAGACATTTTCTTGGAGCAATCCTAATTTTAGGAGTGGCATGTGGTTATGCACTGTCAGTTGAGCTCCGATGTGTCGTCTGCCTGCTGATTCCTATATTTTTTGGAAAGGAGGGAAGATCCTATATTACAGCCATAGCCATTACTTTTCTTATTTCTGGTATGCATTTTATGCTTTATAACTATAAGTATGGACGGAACCGACAATGGTGTATTCCGTGTATCGCGTAGTCGTTATAAATTCAATCCATGTCCTTGAGATAAAATTGTATTTCTAGTTAAATTTAGAAATTTACATTAATGTATTTCTTTCTCGGTAAGAATTTGCACTTACCTGGGGAAATGTTTGGTATATATGATCCCGTATTTAACTTGCAAAGGGGTCTATTTACGATTATTTCGTAACTTTTTGTAATGAATTACAGTAGATTCAAAATTTTGATTTGTTAATGATACAGCTAAAAGATAAGACAAAGTTACCAAATGACCAGCAACAGTAGTATAACAAAATTCTTAAATTCATCTGAATACACAAACCAAAATAAAAACCTGCAGGAATCGATTGAAAACCAAATGGAGCGAGATCATATACATTTTTGAATATTATATTCTCTCAAAAATTTTTTTTTTTAAATTAATATGTTTCTACGACTTAAGGTGGTACCCAACACATTGACTAATATTAATTTGGCTCGTTTAATTTTCATAAAATTTTGACAAAATGTTTACTTTGACCCTTCGATAAAAATATAAAAATTTCAAAAAATTTGAACCAACCACTTTATCAGAAAAATTTCATTGGTTATATAGCAGTTTGACAAACACTAATTTTGATCATTGAGAAGCTTGATATTTCCTTAACAATACAACGTAATTAAAACGTTTAGCTGATTTTTACAGAGGTATCTCCCTGTAGTGTTAGGTACCACCTTAAAAGTGTTTCTTTGTATCTAAAACAATCTGCATCTCACATTCGCTGTCAAAAACTAGTTGCACTAGATTATGATATATAAATATTATTAATATTGATAAAAGTCTTGTTACTATTATGGACAAAAAGACAGGTGTTGCATGCACAGTAGGATAGTTTTGCTGTCCCTAGAATTATATTACTTCCGGTTTTAAAGTTCGTATTGCCATGCTTTTAAATTAGTTTCAAAAGGTTGTTGAGCGTAGCAGGCTTCGTTGATTTTTTTTCATACATGTATTGTTCCATGATTTTACTGTCCTTTTTACATCCCTTTTTTTAAATTTTTATCTGTTATTTATTACTATTTGGATATACTCTGTTTGTGTTTGTGTACAATTCATTAGTCATGCAGAATTTAGTAATTAAGCAGTTGATTGCCATCTATTTTATACAACCATAAAACTTATTGGGTTATACCAAACTGGTTGAAAAAACCTGGAATGAATCGTACCTGAGAAAGCATGCTATATATGACGGTTCTTTGGTGTAACAATCATGACTTTAATTGATTCAAACAGTGTATGCTTATGTCAACAGAGGTGTCCGATACAATCATGACTTTAATTAATTCAAACCTACCCCAATTTGGGCATATTCTTCAAGTTTTTCTTCTTCATTAGGACCAGTACAAAATATCATGGACAATGGCAAAGAAATAACACGAACATTGGCCTGCGCGGCTGAGTTGTCTGCAAACCACACTAGAGCAAAGTGGGAACTAAAGATGAAACCATTAGAAGATGCAATGAAACAATGGCAGGTAAACATATCTTTTTTTATGTAAATTACATTTTTTATGTGACAAGTGCTTTTCGTATAGGGAATACGATAACTTTGGACAGCATGCAAATATGAATCTTCCATATTGATGCGCAATCCAATTAAGGTTTAAAAAATATATCAATACCAGTCGTCAGGTTCTATAAATCGAAGGGATTTAATTATTTATGCATATGAGAGCTAAAATCCGTATCAAACTTTTCAAAACCACATGCATTGAATCTATACGAAAAGGAAAGCAATAATTATTGAACTCTTCTTAAATTGTCCTTGGGATACCATTAGTGACGATAATGAAAATGCGGTGCACTTGTTTTCTAATTATTAATTGTAGATAGTTAACACAGATATGAAACTGAGGTTTTACATCTACTTATAAAGAGTTTTCTTTGGAATTTTTACACGTTTGTCTTAACTAGGGTCATTTTTTGAATAGACAGTATTGATGTGTTATCAACTCCTCCTCCAGTTTTCACCCGAGATCTTTAAAACTATTTCGAAAGATTGTACACGCATTGAATTCGTGCATTACTATTACATATTATTATTTGAAAAAATGCTTACTTTTTACAGACTTGTAATATTAATTATTTGAACATCTAAATTTTGAAAAGACGGTAAAAAAATTCTTTCTGCTATTTAAACGCATATATTTCAAACTCAACAAAAGGTTAGCAAACCTCCCATTATAAAGCGGCAGGAGAATTTACAGCTTTTACGTTTTATTTTTGCATATCATTAAATGTTTAAACAGTCTTTTGAGTCGAAGACCATTTTTGAAACACAAAACACGTTGATATTTTAAATATTTATGTCATACCATGTGTAAGAACTTTTCCAATTGCTAAGTTTTGTATATATACTCAGCATATCGGTGATGTAAAAACGTATATGTTTCCCAAATGGCTTTAATGATGGACCTTAATCTGATACCTAATGTAATGAAACTCTTGTTTTATCATTTTCATAGATCTGTAGTTTTTATTATTAAAAGTCGGTTACCTGGCATGTTACATGCACATTTCTACTCCTTACAAGCATGTGAAGATATGGTATATATGTACATTCATCGAACGTAACCAAATATGTACTGTTTAAACCTTAACGTATTTATATGGGTGATGATAGTTTTTAATAGTTCATTGCAGTCATTTAATTTTTTCTTTCCTTTTTTTATGAAACACAGATTGAATATCTACTGTATTCACGTTCATATTATAGTGGCAACTCGAAATTCAAGTATTTTACATGAAATTCCTAAAATTTTATCTTTTAAGAATAATAGAACACTAATTGGTCATAGATTAAATGAGTATTTATAAAGGGGTATTACAATAAACCTTAATAAAGTAATGAAGTAATGAAGAAAAATCTTCATTTACTTACACGTGCACTGGTGCTACATGTGGTGCAGAATCTGCTTACCCTTCCGGAGCATCTGAGCCCAACCCCGGATTTTTGGTGGGTTCGTGTTGCTCAGTCTTTAGTTTTCTATTTTGAGTTTTTTGTACTGTTGTGTGACATTTCTTAGTGTTCCGTTCTTTGCCATGATAATGTAATCGAAAAAGAGAGGCGAAAGATACCAAAGGGACACCCAAACTCATAAGTCGAAAATAAACTGATAACGCTATGGCTAAAAAAGAAAAAGAAAACAAACAAACAACAGTACACAAAACAAAACATAGAAAACTTAATACTGAGCAACACGAACCCCATCAAAAGTTGGGGTGATCACAGGTGCTCCGGAAGGGTAAGCAAATCCTGCTTCACCTGTGGCACCCGTCGTGTTGCTCATGTTAGTACAAACCCGGTGATAAGTCTAATTCGGTAGTTCACATTCGGGAAAAAAGGAACGGGATTGTAGTTACGAAAATTGGAACATATCCGTTGTCATCTGTGAAACGGATATTTCATAACGGTCAACCAACTTGTGATGGCGTCCGTAAAATTTACGAAGGCAGAATTTCAACTTCATCACTTGGAACTCTTGGTTTAATAGCTTCCTTGTGAAAGAGAGGCGAAAGATACCAGAGGGACATTCAAACTTATAAGTCGTTGTGAGCAGTAACCTTCTATCAAGGAAATCATGATAGGAAATACAAGCCCTGGAATATCATATCAACTGGGAGATATATACTCCGTATGCAGGCGCTGCTGGAATGTTGTACATAGAAATGCAAAATTCACAATTGGGAAGCTGAAATCATCTCTTTTGTCGTAAAGTTTTGTTTTCAACCAACCCTCATTGTCAATTTATAGATGTAAGTCAAGATATGAGGCAGATGTAACTGTTTCTGTTGTATCCTTTATCTCATGTTCGATGGGATATATACGTTCATCATAGTCACCAAGTTTTAAATTATTTAGTTAGAGAACATCATTTATATATCGGAAAGTTAAGTTAAAGGATACTGCTAACTTTTTTTCTTTCTTCCTAAGAAGTTTCTGTATGAAGTCAGCCTCATATGAATAAAGGAACAAGTCGGCAAGAAGTGGAGCACAGTTGGTTTCCATGTGAATGCCGATTGTTTGTTGAAAAACACGTCCTTCAAACGTAACAAATATGTTGTCAATCAAGAAATCAAGCATCTTGATAATGTCAGTTTCGGAGAATTTGTTGTATTTTTTCGCCTCTCTTTTTAGTTTGTAACCCGGATTTGTTTTCTCTCAATCGATTTATGACTTTTGAACACCGGTATACTACTGTTGCCTTTATTTGCCCTGTTATAAATCTGTTAAACAATAAGTAATAGGCAACCATAGTATACCGATATTCAAAACTCGTAAATCCATTTTTAACATATACACCATAGTAAAAAAAAACAGATGAAAACGCATGAGCCCTTATAACCTGATAATTAAAAATGTCTTTGTATATGCAATCTTTACTAAAGAGATAACAATGAAATCAAATTGGCAAATGTATTTCATATGACGACTAAGCGATAAACACAAGCTGTTATTCTTTTTTATTATTATTGTTTTACAAAAGAATGCAAATATGATTAATGAAATGTGCATAAATAAATTTGCACTTTTCAAACATCTAAGCTGTAATATGAAATGATTTGTTGAACTCGCCTGGCTTTTTAGAGCCTTTGAATTCATTAAAAAACAAACACTTTATCAATTTTGAAAAAAAAATTTATTTCAAATTTGTATTTCACTTTTGCCCATGTTTACTTAGTGACAGTAAGTGGACGTTTAATGTGCAATGTTCAAAAGTATGTTATCTTGTACAGAGAAACTCAATAAAAAAACCTTGGAATGTTATGCAAAATTTAGGAAAATACCATGTGCCTTGTAAATGTACGGTTTACGGCCTGTTCGGTCACCTTTTAGTTCTGACATTAAGATTTTTTACAGATCTAAATGAACACCGACGAAGGAATTATTATATGCTATTTAACGGTGAAAAACTGCATCACAATTGAAATTAGAATAAAAAGTGGAAAATTTATACTCACACTAACTTAAGAACCATAAATGTGTTCAGTCAAATATGTTGACAAACACAAGATATGTAGGTTTCCAATATATGTCTAGACTTTAAGCTATGTCCTATGTTTTGAATTTTCATGACCAAATAAGTAGTTTTATGCATTATGAAACAACTATGAAACTATCAGATCAATAGTGAAAGCAGCCAAAAAACTTTACTCGCATTTGGTTGTGTAGATCGGTACTTTTATAAACGTCAACTGGTGGCAGGGAAACAGTAACAGTAGCATAATGCTTCATCGTCACATTAATGTTTTTAATTGGGTTGAGCCTTATTTGTTTCCCTCATTATTTTAAATGATGTATTAACTAATAAAATTCATTCAACGTTATGATATCTATTGTTTTATTTTTTATCATGTATTTGTATAAGCATTTGTAAAGTAGAGCTGGCTGTTAAAAACCATTTGATAACGCTTGAAGTTGAGGTGTCAGATTAGGTCAGCGTCAAAAATACTTTTTTTCAAAGTTGAACACCTCATAATCATCAGAATATATTTGAAATATTTGATCTTGGAGATCCTTATTCTTATAAAAATATAACAATTTGTTTTTTGCATTTGTAGCATGTGGCCTCGTTGTCTGATCAATACTTTTTGAGTTGAGCCATAATTTCACAGAGTTATCACAAGCGCTAATTTTCCTCTATACCTTTTCTGTGAATTCAAAAATGTTTGACATTTTGCCAAGCATCATGTTTTTGTACAAATGATTTGATATCTGAACTTGAGGTTCAAAGTGTGGATTTTTACAAATTCGAATAATTTTCAAAAAATCTCCGAAAGATTTTGGAATGTATCGACACATCACGCGCATGAAATATTTATCTGTACCTTTGTCAAGATATGATGACAGCATTCGTTCTCGTGGCTCTCTAACAAATACTGCCTTTGCCAATGCACTATTGAGCATCATTCCTTTGATGTCCTTAGCATCAAAATACGCTAAGGGAATAAGTCCGCTTCTCCGAGGATCGGGTGCATTTTTTTTTGTGATTCCCTGTAGAATCTGAAACAGTCTTTTCCAAAAGGTGCCACCTGACTTGGAGGTCATGAAAAATATTAAATTAAACTTTGGTAAAACAAACGGTAAGGTAAAAATGTTAGATTTTATTTTCCTTATGTCGTCGTCTGACATCTCAATAACACCTCGTTCAGGATTAAATCAATTATTCCATCTTTGTGATGTCGTATAATGATGAAATTTTTTCTCTCGGTAGAGCCTGATTTTTCGCTATTCCAACAACAAGTACGTATATTTGCTAATAAAATTAAGAAACTGATAACAACAAGTATAAAAAATATCTGCATCCGTCTGAAACACATTAGTTTATCTAGTAAGTAATGGTAAAATTGGTGTAAATTCACTAATATAATCAAATTGTCATCATATTTTGAAGACTTCTGCATTGGTGAGATACCAGGTGAATAGTAAAATGTATCTCTTTTGACTATATGTCATACAAATATTAATAAACCATAGTTGCTATTTACTCTTTTTTTTAACAATACGGCATGGTACATGATAATCGGTTATTAATTGTTGATTTGAATCTAAATCAGGTATGTGTATCTAAATTCAAATCAATGTTGAGAATTATCATAAAAAAAGTATTGAATTGTATTATTGTCAAATTATAAGTAGAAGAGTAAAACTGGATGATAAATGTCGAACAGGAATGGAGTTGATCTCTTCTTTTACATTTTCATCTCTATAAGAGATAGAGAGAGAGATTAGAAAATATTCTCTACTATTTTTTTATCGATAAAATAAAAAAAAAACGCATATTGCAAAACTGACTGTTTTACACACGTGGGCAGCAATGACGGTTTTCTAGGTCTTTTTGATTTCATGTCGTACATTAAAAAATGTATAAATCATCGTTTTACCTGTATCAGATTGATATTTCACTGACAAAATCAAGCAATGGAGTGGTTCGTACTAGTGGATTCTTTGTTTACATTTTCAATGCTGTCATTCTTTTATTTTCAATAACTTAAACATGCGCAACCCAACTTCATCTACTTTAAAGGTCAAATTAAAAGGTTGCATGAATACGGATTCAAATTAGTTGAATTATTGACTTAAAGGTCAAGAACACACCAATGATGAATTTAGCTCATTTTGACAAAATCGAACAAAACTGACTGCTAATAACGAATTATTGTTCCTTTATTCCGCTTTTAAAAATGTTTGAAACCAAAAAAAAAAAAAAAAAAACCTTGTTAATAAATATTCCGTATCAACTTCACAAATAATACATGATGGTCTTGAAGTATAGATAAACTTTTTTTGATTCGAGCGTCACTGATGCGTCTTTTGTAGAAGAAACGCGCGTCTGGTGCAAATACAAAACTTCAATCCTGGTATCTATGATGAGTTTATTTATTCGTTGGTTACTATCATCAACAACGTTTTTTGTTTTTGTTGGGTTTTTTTTTGTCATAAATCAGTCGTTATTTTTTTTTTTTCTTTTGCATTGTTTCCAACTTCTGCTTTGATTTTAACTTATTATCAATCACGCTATATCTCACCTGGCCTTTAAGGCAATGTGAGCTTTTGACATCACTTGCCGTCCATCGACGCCGTTTGTCTGTTATAATCTTTTTACAAAAATCTTTTCCTCTGCTACTTCTGGGCAAAATGTTATCAAACTTTATCTGAATGGTTCTCAGGGAATTTAGTTTAAAAAAATTACCCCAGGTTGAGATCCATTTTCAAGCATAGCCACTGTTACTAAAATAGAACATAAGGGTAAATCTGCATTTGTTTGCTTATATCTCATAATCAAAAGCAAATCCTGCAAGCAAATCGTAATTAGCAGGTCAAAGTCTATCTTCTCTGAAATTTTCAGGATATTGGACAATTCTTTTTGGAAGAATTTCTCAGTGTTTGGCTTATATGTACTAAAACTAAAGCAGTTAGTGCAAAACTAACATAAAATATGATCAGCAAGGCAATGCCTTTCTCCTGTGGAATTTTCAGATAATCGAAAAAGATTACCAGAACTATGAAGTTTTCAAATAAGTCAACATGACCGAAATAGTCCATTGATCCCTTATTAGAGTTACAATGTATTGGTTTTGAATGATGAAATCCACTCTGTATTTTTGTGGAAACTATAGTAAATAGAAAGAATCTTTAAAGGATATAAATGTTCAGCATATAAAGACCTTCAAATAAATCATCATGGTCAAATTTGCAATCGGCCAGTAATATGAGTTATTGCCCTTGTGTTTTTCCAGAAACTATAATAGATGGATCGTAAAAATGTTAAGTCAAATAATATTTATCAAATTGCCGAAAATGTCTATTGACCCGTTATAGTGGTATTGTCCTTGAGAGACGATTTTTACCCATTTCTGTGTTTTTTGCCAAACTATGATAAATGAAAAGAAACTGTTATTTGCGAAAATGTTCAGCAAAGTATAATTTACAAATACTGCATTATGGCCGAAATCGTCAATTGATCGCTTATAGGGAGTTATGCAATTGACATCTGTATCTCAACCGGCTTATCTTCTTGAATTAAAAATCTTATGACGAGTGGTGTGTCATTAGCAGAAGACACATACAATGTAGATTCACTCTGCTTGTTTATGTGTATACGAAACTTTCACTTTTATGTATTTCCCCTCAATTTATGGTGCTGTAGATGAATGTAATTGTTGCAGATTGAAGAAAATTAAAAAAAAAATTAGAATATTTAATTTCGTGCTTTTAACAAATCCGCAAACAAAACTATAGAATATTTGAGTGTTTCAACAATCTAATCCATAGTTCACCCTGACAAAAAAAATCCACAAAAATGAGTACCTTCGCGTATAAAAAAATTAATCATTTATATTTCAACTGTACAGCTATATACTCCCTTTATTAATACCTCACTGAAGATCTTTTGTCACATTTATAGGCAGAAGGTATGTACATGAACAAAGTAGTAAATAGAGTGGACACTGCATTTAAACCAATGAAGAAGGAGGTATAGTATAACTAAATTTCGTGGATTATATTTATATTTCATTAAAGTGACAAAGAAAATTTCGAATCTACCAAATAATTTTTAATTAGTATTTAAGAAAATATTCAAAACTACGATATATATATTTACCATTGGTTTCAAGACGAATTTCAAAAAGGTAATAAAAAGTAAAATAACAAAAATACCGAACTTCAAGGAAAATTCAAATCGGAAAGTCCCTTATCAAATGGCAAAATCAATAGCTCAAACACATCAACCGAATGGAAAACAACTGTCATATTCGGAACTTGGTACAGGCATTTTCTTAAGTAGAAAATGGTGTATTAAACCTTGCTAGCTCTCATTTGTATGACAGTCACATACAATTCCATTATAGTGACAACAATGTGTGAAAAAACCAACAGACATAATAGGTAAAAATGTCCAAACTAGGGGTACAGCAGTCAACATTGTGTTATAATCTTAATCACTATAATAAAAAAAAAATATGTCAACAAAGAAAACAAAATAGCATATAGACAAAAAACATAAGCAAAAATAAAAGACAGGAATTCAAAAAATGACCACAGCACAACAATACAACGGATGGATACATAAGTACCGACCCACGCCAAAAGGATATTACCAAAATTGGACTAAACAGTAAAGTTTAATAATTTACGAAGACAAATAAAAGAACACTATAACACGTAATTAACATGATAAACAACGTCAGTACCTAGAATATATACTGCAAGACCATCATGTATAATTTTTGAAGCTGATATGGAATATTTATCAACCAGGTCTTAGTATCTTCCGATGAACTTTTTTAGAAAAAGGATGAGACGTTCTTTGACATAACCCTGGTTCATCAACCTTCTGCTCAGACACAAATGACGTTCTATAAAGTCTGAGTAGTAGCTACAATCTCTTGAATACCGAATGAGTTGGGGAAATGTATTTCCCATATGCAGGGGAAGTTGGTATATTGCTACAAAGATGGGAGAAATTGATAATTTCAAAATCAAAATCGTCTCATGTTACTTTAATCCAAACTTTAAGTCTAACCCTACCATGCAATTAATTTAACCACACCCTAAATAAAGATGCACAAATAATTTAAATAATTCCATGCCCATCAATTTTTTAATTACCGTAAAAACATTAAAATAAATCAAAATTCTGCTTTACAGATACCCATAAAACAAAAGGGAGTCAAAATACTTCATAAACTTAATCTAGGAAATTCTGTTATCTTTTATGAACATTATTTAGCCCTGGTAACATTTTTGGCATACTTGAATATTTTCAGATACTATACAAACGGAAAAATCGAAAATCGTACGTCAAAAAGACCGAAAACACCAAGGATAAAGGAGCAAGGACGGACGCACACACATGAATGTACAAAAACCTACACAGAAAACTAATGATTGAGCAACACAAAACTAACAAAAAAAGGGTCAACTCCAGGATAGTAAGCAGTACCTGCCCGAATAATGTCATCCGTCGTGTTGCTCTATGGAAATTCCATCGTATTCCATGCTTTCAAAAACGAGGATATTATCAAACCCTCTGGTGTTGACTGGTATAGCAGGAAAATATAAAATGAGCATTAGTATAATTTTCCGTTACAAAATTTATGATTGCTTTATTACTCACACTAGAAGTGTCCTAATTTTACAATGCAGGTAAGAGATCAAGAGGATGCATCGATAATGGAAGCCAAAACGGCTAAGGTGGACAAACTAACTGGTAATAAACGTGGAAATAGACTAGCAAAAATTCATCAGAAAAATAAATCATCCAATAGAGATTCTCGAGAGAAACAATCGGAAAAAAAATTTAGGACCAAGATGGATTTGCAATGTGAAAGTAAGCAAGAAAACGTAATAACTACTACATGGCTGTCGAGAATGTTCGAAAATAGTTTTAAATGGGAGGAAGACAAAACAAGTTGTAATCAAAGACCATTTCATTTTTAACACTCTTTTTCGGTATTTTTGGTGTTCAATGCTCCAGCTTCGCATTTGATTGGTCCTTCCAAGTAATTGATTCGAGCGCCACTGGTGGCAAAAAAAACGAAAAACATCGAAAATAAATATAAGGCAACACGAACTCACCAAAAAAACCGGGGTGATCTAAGGGGTGCTCCAGAAGGGTAAGTAGATCCTACTCCAAATGCTACTTATGTTAAAAAAAAAACTCGATAATAACTGTCACATATGAGGAAAAGGGAATGGTGATAAGGTTTTTTTTAATTAAGATATAGGCCGTGTTGCCACATTAAAACAAAAAGAGTAAAGCATAACAGCTTAAAGCGACTACTGCTATCGTTACACGATATGAATAATTAAGATGTGAGGTATAGAGTTGAGGATGTTACAATTAAAGTGTAAGTTTAATCTATAATTTGAGAATTTACATGCATCTGTATCATTTAAGTCATGTTAGACGAGCTGTAATGACTAAATTGTAATTAAAAAAATTGATTGGTTTAAATATTTTCAATTGGTCACCCATTTTACTTACTTATTTATTTATTTATTCATTTTGTAATTCTTTCATTAAATGTGTTGTACTTAACTTTTTAATTAATTAATTAATTTATCTATTTATATGTATGATTTTTTCTGAAAGATGTGTGGAATGAAGGTGTCCTAAGATGTAGAGATAAATTCAAAGATCTAGAAAAACGATGTCTCAAAACCATACCATTCATAGGATACCTATTATGTTTGCCAATGAAAATGACATTCTTTTGTGAGATTATAAGATGTAAGTACGGTTATTATTTGTGCTTGCAAGGTCGATGTAATCATGACTTGTTAAAATGCTTACAAAACAAATTTTTTAACCTGACCTTTATTTTAGGCCGGTTGACCAAACGATATTTTAAAATTAAGGCGACAGTAGCGTACCGATGTTCAAATCTCATAAATATATCCAGAACACGATGAGGAGACAAATCAAGTTAACAAACAAAAACCGATAGATCGCACAAACTTCAAGAAGGAGCGAGAAAACAGTCATGGCTGGTACTTGACGTTCAGATAATTATAGAATACGAGAATACTCTTTATTTTCTTGACGACAAACTATACGTTATTTTTAATTGCAAATTAAGGGATCCTTTTTTTTTTAAATTGAAGCTATAAAAAATTACCTTTGAATTACTGCCTGCCCTTTAATGTTATATTTAAATTCCAAGTCTATTTCTAGAACCTGGAACAATGTTTAATTCCAACGGATCTGATATATATGTCGTAACTTTAAAAATAATAAAAGATATTTGGATAGAGGAATATTGGGAAAATATCTTACACACAACCTTTACAAAAATCATCAGCAACATCACCAAATAATTGATAAACTTCATCTATCCAACATAGATCTTTATTTTATAATATGTCATTACCAATATTATTCTGATTGAAAATACACTTCAAGAAAAGAGGTCTCAATTTCACTTTCGTAATAATTGTGGTAAAATATCTACAAATTTGAAAAAAAATAATATTCATTTTTACCATCTTATACGATTGATTAATATAAGCATATGTCAATCTTTGTCAATAGCCACGTGCGGGGTTGAACTTAAAATCTCGGTGTTGACAGGCTAGTGATATACAAGATGACATACTTAGATCACTCGGCCATCGAAGTCCGGACTCCCCCATTTTTCATGACAATCAAAACCCTACCTTTTATTTTGTCTATGAAATGATTTTAAATGATGATATTTTAGATGCTGAAATTTTACAATGAGAATATGTTTTTATATGAAATCTTAGTTTGCTAACGTTACGTTTTGTAACAGTTTGTTTGCTTCTATCAAACCTAGTAAAAACTGAGAAACAAACACAACTGTCAATATTTAGTTAAGAACAAACACTTTATCTAATTAGTAATACATGTATTATTTTTTTTTGCGCTCTAACATTCACATATATTTGCAGTGATTCCAGGTGCTGCCGGCATGGACTGTGATTCTATGGATGTAGTAGAACCCGGATTTGGAGAGACGTATGTAGCTTCTGAAGATATGGTGAACGTGATGGATGAAAACTTTGAAGTCAATTTACAGTATAAGGTCTATTTATTAAATAAATTCTCTTTAACTGGTTCACATCAAATATCTTCCTTATTCTTTTAAAAAAAAAGACGTCCTTACATTATAGGAAATTGATGATATTTTGAGTCAATCAGTTTTAGGAATATTGCAACATATTCCCTTTAAAAGAAATAACATACACCGCTTTCGTGTTAGATAACGGCTGTGGTTTTCAAAAAGATTATTTTTTGGCCATGGTGATGTTTTTATTTGACTTTTTGATTGCCCTCTTGGTATCTTCACTATAAAATTGGACAAGTCAAGTACGAAGATGAAGAGCATTGAGGACCCTAAATTCCGAAAGCTTTTGCCAAATACAACTAAGACACACCATAGAAATGTGTAAAAAAAATTGAAGTTTATTGTTTGCCACACGCTAAGTAACAAAGATTACTTCATGTGGAATTTCATTATTCTAGTTAATATTTACTCAAATGAACAAACATGTTTAATGCTATGACATATTTTCCAGCCATCAATGTAAAATAATAAAACGAGTAGGAAACAGTGTTTTCAATTTTTAATGTATATCTTAATCTTATTATGCCGAATAAATAAATGTATTCGTGTTTTTTTTTTTCATGTTTATTGTGGAGTTGTAAATACATTTTATTAAATTCCGAAGAACTTTAGAACTCTGGAAGTCACGATACATACTGAAATATTGAAATTTCACCCCTTAATCATCGTAAAATGCAGGAATCCCGCGTGTATCGTTCGCTTTTAACCTATTTTCTCTCTAAAGGCAGACTTTTTCCTATTTTTTATCAACATAATTCTGATCAAATAATTTTACAACAGATTGAAAGATTTATTTTTTCATATTGTGGTACTTTGGACAACAGTATGAGCTGTTATGATTGGCTTTTTATTTTGTAGAAAAGCATGATTGTAGTTAATAATGACAATAAACTTCCTTATATTTGTAAAAATAAATAATTATATATGGATAGAAGAGAATAAGAATTTAAAATTTTAAAATGATATTTAGATGTTCAGTAAATTTTATAACTTTACAGGAATTTCTGAGTGCATTTAAGTTTTGGATTTTCAAATATTTTGATCCATTTGTGTTACAGACACACATTTCGTTATTCTATTAAGTTGTTTTGCGTACTGTCCTAAATTATTTTAGTTATTCGTTGTTATTCTGTGGTTAACACAATTAATGTACTATTATATTATTTATTTATGTATTTATCTGTCTTTAGTGTTTTTGCATTTATTTGTACTCTGTTCCCGTCATGTAATGTTGTCATTTTAGCGGTATATTTAACATTGCCATAAAGCGCGGAGGTTTGGCTAGCCACAAAACCAGGTTCAACCCACCATTTTTTCTTAAAATGTCCTGTACCAAGTCAGGAATATGGCAGTTGTTATCTAAAAGTTCGTTTCTATGAATGTTGCATTGATGTTTGTTTTTTGTTCAACTTCTGTGTTCTGTTATTTCGTTGTTTTCCTCTTATAGTTGATGTGTTTCCCTCGGTTTTAGTTTGTAACCCGGATTTGTTTTCTCTCAATCGATTTATGACATTTTAATAGCGGTATACTACTGTTGCCTTTATTTGACACCCAGGTGAAGAAATCTTAATGGTCGTAGTGCATTCTGGTGCAATAAATTCCTTTTATATATGATGAGGGTTTTTTTTTGTGCCGTTAAATAATTTAAAGTGACATAATATGCTTGAAGTCACGCCATTAGTTAGAGGAAATAATTAAAATTAAAATTTACCAGTGTTCCACAGTAAAAAAAAAGTTGCAATTGAGAAGTGAAAAATGCACATTAGAAATAAAAGAAGACAAGAAATTGAGCTTTATACTGAATTAAGATACAGCAAAACGATCGTTTTTATAATTACTTACCCTTTTTTCTTTCTGTTTACATAATAAAACATTTTAAAAGATTATTTGAAGTACGTCTATAATATTCCATTACAGCTTGTTCAATCAAAAGAAGGCCTTGACTACACATCTGTTGAGGAGATACGTAAAGGAACGATGCATGAATTTAAGCAACGAGAGCAGTTAATTGACATGTTTAAGAAGCTGTTAAAATGTCTCCTTGGATTTACTTTTCTACGAGTTATTTACAGGTATCTCTTTAAATCTTTTTTACTTTTAGATCACTTTTCATCAATTATTTTCATCTAATGGCTTAAAAATGAAAACAACACGTTATAAATTTCATGCGTCTGAAGCGCGTTTCTGGATTTACCGTCGTCAGGAACGATCAATAACGAATATTTAAAAGGCTAGGATGTATAAGAATCGAAAGAGTTGAAGAGCGATATGATCAAAGTAACCTTAAAACAAAAATAAAAATCCATCTACGGTCAACTTTTCCGTAGGGAATTGAGACCTTAGTTTCATTATAATTTCAAAATTTATAAAAGGATAATTTTAGAAAGGTTTGTTATAAATCATGTCAGTACCGAAGTACCGACTACTGAGCAGATGATACCCTCGGAGACTGATACTCCACCAGCAGAGGTATCGACCCATTGCTGTAAAAAATGAAAACAACACGTTATGAATTGCATACGTCCGAAGCTGTGTCTACCTTCATCAGGAACGCTCAAACCCAAATACTGTAGATTCTTTATTTTTCGTGGGATACCAATTTTTGTAGATTTCGTGGGTACAAGTGAACCACAAGTGAACCACGAATTTTAATGTTCATCGAAGTAAAAATTGTCTATAGGCTTGTATGCAGACTTTGCCAAATCCACGAAATCAGATACTAGTAGTCACAAAAATACAATTTTTCCTTTAACCACGAAAATGATACCAACGAAAATAAATGAATCCACAGTATTTGAAGGCCAAAGATGTATAAGAACCGAAGTGTCAAATATCAAAATATCAAATTCACTTTGTCAATATGTGATCAAAGTTCCAGGTTCCTGATTTTCTTGTTGACATTTATCTGAGCATGATATACGTACGTAACAGAATGCGTAATCCTCGCCGTTTCGTTAGAACAAAGATTCCAGATTGAACCAATTTGAAGGGATTGTTCTCATGCTATTCACATCATTTATTCTTTATAATGATCACAGAAATCACTTTATTCGTCTGTATGTCCAAAAGAAAGGATTTTGGATAGCAACTTGATTTTTTGAAAGGTTTCGTAACTCCTGACCAAATTTCTTACTGAGGAAGCCCCTAAAAAGGTTTTTTTTCTGTAATTTAGTGCCCTGGAAAAATATTCCTCCTTTTAATCATTTTAAACATACATGAAATTGATTTTTAAAAAAGGAAGGAGAATCCAACTATAAAACTATGTATTTATTCAGATTTTCAACTTCCTTTCTCGTAAATACTATTTCTTAGCTTCAAAAGCAGAATATGCTAACCCTTTCAGAGCACCTGAGATCAATACGTTTTGGCAGTGTTTGTGTAGCTCAGTCTTAAGTTTTCTATTTTGTGTTTTGTTGACAGTTATTTGTTTTATGGTCGTTTTCGAAAAGTGATTTTAGAATATTCGATGGACATGTCGGCACCCTTGATTTCGTTATTTTTAAGCTTATCCGACTTTTTTTATTTAATAGCATTAACAATTTGCCAAGGAATCCAATCTTTTCCTTGATTAATTTCATTGAATATTCAACTAAATGTCTGTAAAATCTTGTTAATTTTGCTATCTATATAGTGCTAACGTTTCTTTACAACACATATTCATCTCTTAAACTTCTTGGCCAACATCATCTTTGGGGTATCTAGTTTGAAAAAAGTGTCAGTTGAATTGTTTGGACGCCACAACGATTTTCAATGTGACTTCATGGATCCGTTTAAGAAGAAATCAGGTAGAAAAGGCAACTCGAGCTGACGGAAATTTCAACAATTAATTTTGTAAGCCGATTTTGGAGTCAAACATTTTTAAATTAAAAGTTGCGTTTGCATTGATAAAAATGAAGTTAGATTATAAATGTTGTACATGGTACCAGAAATGGTAAGCAACATGATTATTTTTTGGTAAAATCAGACATGAGGAGTCATTTCGGAAAATATTAAAGTTATCTGATATATACAGATATTTACATGTCTCGATATTGATACAGTTGTAAAAATTGATATCATTTTTTGCTTACATAGCTCTTCAACTGTTTCGGTTGTTATATATCCATGGCTTTCAAATATTCGGCTTTGAGCGTTCTCAATTAAAGTAAATCCAGAAAAGCGCGTCGGACGCATGAAATCTATGAAGTGTTGTTTTGATATTTTAAAGCACTGGGTTGATACCACTGCTAGCTAGTGAACTATAAGTCCCAGAGTGTATCATCAGCTCAGTAGTCAGTACTTCGGTACTGACATGATTTATAACAAACCTTTCTTAACTTGTCCTGTTATTAATTTAAAAATTGATACTAAGGTTTCAACTCCTCAGGCAAATTTGACCATAAATGGATTTGGCTATTATTTGTATATCCTTTTTAATCATATAGCACTTCAACTATTTCGGTTTTCATACATCCTTGACTTACACATATTCGGCTTTGTGAGTTCCTAGTGAAGGTAAATCGAGAAAAGCGCTTAAAACGCATAAAATTTATAAAGAGTTGTTTAAATATTTTGTTTTTGTTGTACAGTTTATTCTTATATTGTGCTATAATGGCCTAGTGTTATCTTTCCTCGTCAGTAGAATCTAGAACACAGTACATGATATATTAGGCATGAAGATTGAATTGATTGCAGATTCGTCTCAAATTTAGCCCAACAATGTTAGATCTTCAAATTTGCGTTAGCAAATTTTTGTGTTTCCCTCAGCGGGATTCGAACCCTTGTGTCTGTGACATCGTGTCAACACCGCCTGCACCATTTAAAGCGCCCTATGCCACTTGACCACCTAGGCTACATAAAAATAAAGTTTTCGGTGGACGATGTAATACTTTTCCTCGTCGGCTTTATCTAGGGTTGTAACACAGTACATGACGAATATCAAATGAATATTTCTGTGACTGCATCTTACGATCCTTTACGATAGATAATTTAGCTAATCTGCAATCAACTCTATCTTCATGCCTAATACCGGTATATCATGTACTGTGTTACAACTCTAGATTCTACTGACGAAGAAAGGTAACACTAGGCCACCGAAAGCTGAATTTTTAGTTCAGTCTAGGTGACCGAGTGGTCTAGAGCGCTGGACACAGTGCAGGCGGTGTTTTGTCGAGATCTCAATAGCATAAGTTCGAATCCCTGCGAGGGAAGAACAAAAGTTTGCTTCAGCAAATTTGCAGATTTAACATTGTTGTGCTGATATTTAGAGTAATTATGTATACATATAACTTATTTGGGAAATATATATATAGCAAAAGTAAATAAATACGGAGTACAGAATGTATATATCAAAATTTGTAATTCGCAAAGACTACATTTCACATCAAATAATAACAATTCGTTAAAATAATGTCACTAGCGCTTTCATGCCTTCTGCCAATCTTCAGGCGACGATTGAACAATGTCCTTGACGACACTACCGTTGGTAACGTCCTGTACCAAGTCAGGAAAATGGCCATTGTTATATTATAGTTCGTTTCTGTGTGTGTTACATTTTAATGTTGTGTTTTTGTTGTGTCGTTGTTCTCCTCTTATATTTGATGCGTTTCCCTCAGTTTTAGTTTGTAACCCGGATTTGTTTTTATCTCTATCGATTTATGAGTTTTCGAACAACGGTATACTACTGTTGTCTTTATTCATTATGTTATAATAATAATAAGGGGAGATAAATATAACGTGTTTACGTAGACCCGTTTAATTTTAGCTGAACAACCTTTATAAAGTGTGCTTCTTTTGCCAGTCTTTTATATTTATTAGATTCGTTCATTTTATAGACGTATTTCCGTTCTATAAAATGAACGAATCTAATTAAATGGTGATATGCTTAATAAGCATAGAAAAAAACCTACGATCGTGTTGGATATATGATTAGATTTATGTTTTTTTTTCCAGCTCTTACAAATATAACAAAAAATATTTGTCGGACTTCAACTTTGACAATGTTTACATCTCAGACTACTTTAAACATATTGACAACAGAAGGAAAGCACAGGTACTTTATATCATACTAAATAATTTGCATAAATGTTAATTATTACAATATACATATAAACATACTCTCAGAGTTGGTAAAATCACTCGAAACTAGGTAAGACATGCGCAGTAGTGATATATATGTAGTATAAATATAGAAAATTGAATATTTTAATCAACAAAAAAAATTTTTTAAAAATATCTGTATCATATACCCAAGCGCCTGTGTATGCAATATCTAAAAGAAGGCAGTTTTTCTTTTATTTTGAAATGAAGAAAACGTTTGTTTTCAATTCTGCCTGACATATTATTTTGCTAAATAAATCTAATTTTTTTTTTTTTTTTGTCATTTTTTGGGGTATTATTTTGTTTATAAATAAACGATAGTGTGAAGATAAACATTTATATATTTATACTAACGTATGTTAACTTTGTTATTTTGTTTATCATCGTCATGCAATGATTTTTCCTAAATCAATTATTGTAGATATTTTTTTGAACAAATAAGTTAGGTCGGCTAAATTATGTATTAACTCGAGTTTTAAAGTGCTATATAAACAAAAAAATAAGCAATTATCCAACAAAGTTACTTTGAATATGCTGCAAAAAGTTTTTTTTTCCTTTTCTTTATGTTTGGTAAGATGATTGTACTTTTTTTTTTTAATTAACACACTCTTTTTTTCAAAATAATTCATGGTTTTTGTACTATATGAATGGATAGATTTATATTCAACGCCAAGTGGCAAATACCAATTGCATATCAAGACGAGAAAAACATAATGTCGAACCGACCAGTCTTTGCGCTAAAAGACGTTTTCTTAGCCAAGGATCAGCAAAAATCAATTTTCAAGTATGCGGTTTGATCCGACCGCAGATTCCAGGAAGTTTTGTAAGTCGATCTCGGCTGTAATAAAAAAAAAATTGGGGTATACAATTACCGTTGTTAGTTTGATATGAAAAAAAGTGTTTTGTGTTGGTAGCTCAATGTAGGAGAATTTTTCATCTTTTCAATCTTAGATTGTCGATTAGAACTGCTAGAGTGACAATGGTGGTATTGAATATTATATATTATTTACAATTATGATTAATATTTGTTTTCCATTCAATGTCCGTTCAATCCTTGTATGGTCTGAAGTTTGTATATTTAAGATTTTTTACAACCCTTACCTTGCAGGAAAAACGTGGATTATTACCACTAAAAAAGTCAGAAATGAAGCGTTTGGTTTTCCCCTGGAGCTCAAAGCTCATGTCAGCGGAAAAGAAGAAATTGGTAATCATTTTGGTGGTCTAGTTTAACTGTATTTCAACATTTATTTAAGATAAAAAAAAAAGTTATATAAATAAATGTGAATAATTAACCTGTTCACATTATATGCATTCATGTACATTAAAGAAGCAAAGTAAAACAGCTTTCCAGCTGAAGCCCGCCTCCGGGTGCGATATTTTCTCGCTGTGTTGAAGACCCATTGGTGGCCTTCGGCTGTTTTCTTTTCTTAAGACGGGTTGTTGTCACTTTGACATATTCCCCTTTTCCATTCTCAATTTTATACATCTTTACATACATCATTTTCCGAGTATTTTGTCTTCTTCTTATTTGTTAGAATTTGTATTATTTTGCAATTAATACGTACAGGCAGGCAGATGACACGAAAGGGTTTGCAAGAAAAGGTACAAACAAATTACTATGTCTCAGTATAATCGAGTCACTGGTGTGAACGACATCATTTAGGCAATCTATTCATTGAATATGGTGGTACAATATTGAGACATTGGAATATGTCATTTGAATTAATCTTACTAGAATTTGAAATTACAGATACCTTATAAGCTTCAGAAAGTAAATCTCTGTATTTCTAGTAAGTTACAATAATTTTATACAGAAATAATAAACAATCTAGTAATGATACAGTTCCATAACGTACAAAAATATCCCGGGTATTAACAGGGAGCCAGATAGAATAACCACAACGAAGTATTATAAATGTTTAATATAAAACTGACAATCCGAATTGAAAGTTAGTAGGTGTAATGGGAAGCATACAATGAATTCCAATTTACGACATAAGCATATCATGCATATCTAACCAACATAATATTACGCAAGAACAACCAGCGCTTGAGTGATCTAATACATTGATTTTTGTTTTAGATTTTAGTGAAGCAAATATCTTGCAAAAAGTTATAATTCCTCCTTAATACTACTACATAACAACCTTACCCTTGGTATCTTCCGCCTCTCTTTCGACAATAATCAAAAAGTTAAATTCAAATGACCTCAATTCCTATCAAAATTTACGCGAGTACACGACAATTTAGCTCGATGAAAAACCGGACCGCCTTTACAAAAACAACTTGGACCGTCTAATCTATACAGACATGGCAGACTGTCCTACAGACCATGAATGGCTGGTGTATTATTTATTCAATTTAAATACATGTATTGACGAGAACTTGGATGTCTGTGGGGACAACTGAGAATGGAAATAAGAAAACTTTATCAACAATGAGCAAAACACACACGGTGTCATATATATATACGTGAAAATATATGGTATACACAAAAAGAATGTATATTCATATTGCATGGACCATTAACGACATTCGATCTCAGTCAGTATAACATACATGTACTTTGCGATGCAAATGGTGCATCGACTCATCTAAACACGATTATCAAATAACATATAACATATTTTAGATTTAGTCCATTATCTGATAAAAGTGGGTTTTTTTATGTTAAATAGTTTTAATATCATTTTATTCTATCATTTAAAGTCTAAAGGAACCTTCATGATATTGATGCGATGTTTTATTACTGGTATTGTCATATACTCTGACTACCTCCTGTTTACTGTGATGGATATCATACGACGTCATAGCAGAGTTGATTATGCGCAGTTTGGTAAGATAGTGTAATTACCGTCAATTGTAACATTTGGTTTCTCAATTCAGTAATTTCTACAAAAACAAAAGTTCTAAGTTTGATACAATGCTTATCACAAACTGTCCTTTTTGTTAATTGCCTCTTAATTGCATTTTCTCAATATATTCAAACAGCCTTGACATACTTAAACTTGTCTCCTGGGTGTTTCTGGTGCATGTAAATTCATATAGTATCTACGTAGGTAGGCAATTCGATATATTTGAATATGATTACCGTCTCCGGAGTAGATTGTTTAAAGAGTTGAGCGATACACAGTCTTCGGAGTGAATGATGTCTGTTACATAATTGGATGAAATTACTTACTCAAATACGTTGATTGATTGAGACAATTTGTAAACGTTTTCCAATCCAACAGGGTTATCGGGGTTAAACTCTGCATTTTTAGTACTTTCCATATTTCAATAAAACCTGGCTCAATTAACGCGATTTTATTATTCGTAGATTGATGAAATATATCTTTTAAATAGAAAAATGTATATTGGAATTCGAAATCTACGCTTAGAAACCATGTAAAACATTGTGTCCAATATGTTAATTTTTCAAATTAACCTTTTAGAGCTTCATATTTTTCCTGATAGAACTCAAATTAAGTATTAAATCATTGGTTCAATACAGTCTCGCATTACAAGATTTTTGTATTATATTGCTTGAGTGTCAAATATGATAACATTATGTATCAATTGAAAACTTGTTTAGTAACATCTTGTATACAAATTGTTGAAAAAAACTAAACATTTAAAAACAACTCATCGACTTGTGTTATCTTTCGTATCTTTAATAAATATTTTTTTTAATATAACCATTAGAGTAAAAAACAGGAATCTGATGTTCAGTAGTTGTCGTTTGTTGATGTGGTTCATAAGTGTTTCTCGTTTCTCGTTTTTTATATTTTTATATAGATTAGACCGTTGGTTTTCCCGTTTGAATGGTTTTACACTAGTAATTTTTGGGGCCTTTTATAGCTTGCTGTTCGGTGTGAGCCAAGACTCCGTGTTGAAGACCGTACTTTGACCTATAATGGTTTACTTTTATAAATTTTTACTTGGATGGAGATTTGTCTCATTGGCACTCATACCACATCTTCTTATATCTATTTATTTTAAATTTGGCATCATATTAACATATTCTCATCCTGATAATCATATATACCAGCAGAAATAATGTATAATCGGGAGACAATTTTGACGAAGTAGAATTCTGTCTGTAATTGAAAGGCGTACATTAATAACGTTGCAGTTTTCTTTCTGATTTGCTTCTTATACATGGAGTTCTGTGTTTAAGAACATTTTGGTTCTGAGATAATATATGAATACCTTATTTGAAAAAAATACACCTATTTCAACTCTTTACTTTGTCGATTAATAACTTCAGATGTCAAATACTTGTTTCTTCATCGAAAAAGGACAAATTTAATTAGCAAATGATATAATAAGAAAAAGCCCAGTTAGGGCCTTCCAGAAAAGTGGAAGAAAATAAGATTTTGTCATAGAATTTCAAGCTTACTATGGATTCATTATCATTCGTGGGATACTAGTTTTCGTGGAATTCATGGGTATTCGTTAACCACGACTTTAATGTTTAACAAATTACAAATGTTCTATAGGCTTGTATAAAGACTTTGGCAAAACTATGAATTCAAATATCCACTGATTAAAAGTACTATCCACGAAAATTGGTACAGATGAAAATAAAAGAATCCACAATGTTGAATTTTAAATACTGATGTCAACCTTATATTCAGTACATTGATATATATATATTCCTTGCTTGGTATAACAATCGCAATTTTGAAAGTATTTTTATGAATTTAAACAGGAAAAGAAAATACTAATCGTTGTGAATTTTATGCCGCGTGTCATAATAAAAGCTTTGCTTAATTTTAATTAAAGGCTTGTGTACAAAGGTCATGATATCAGCGTGATTCAATTATTAATTCATTGCAGGAAAACATCATATTGTGGTACGAGTTTTCGGCAAGGGCTTCATGTCCAATATTGTGAGGATGTTCATTAAAAGTTTTGATGCAAAGCACGAAATTGATGAAGTCAGTACTAACTATGGTAAGTTTATCTTTAAGAATAAAACTTGAATATGTAATTTCATCCAATTGTGTCCTATAATCTGGCGTGAGATTTCTGACAGTAGGATAGGCATGGGGCATGATACATGCAAGTCAAAAGACTGTCAACTGTCGACGCATCTGACCTTTCTCCGTTTGATATCAATGCTATTCCCTCACGGTTGTTTTTCGACATTTAGAAAGAGTGTGGCTTTGCATGGTGAGAGTTGCATGTATATCAAGAGAAGCTTATCATGTTGACTGACCTGGTCTGGCTTCTTTTGGAGTTTGATTGTTACATTGATGAGTCTCTTCTAAATTGGTTTACGAGAGTTCAACATCGGTAAACTATTGTCGTCTTAATTTGAACATCGGTAAACTATTGTCATCTTGATTTGAACATCGGTAAACTATTGCCGTCTTAATTTGAACATCGGTAGACTATTGTCGTCTTAATTTGAACATCGGTAAACTATTGTCGTCTTAAATTGAACATCGGTAAACTATTGTCGTCTTAATTTAAGCATCGGTAAACTATTGTCGTCTTAATTTGAACATCGGTAAACTATTGTCGTCTTATTTTGAACATCGGTAAACTATTGTCGTCTTAATTTGAACATCGGTAAACTACTGCCAATTCTTATTTGACACTTAACGTGAACTGCTAGTCGTCCACAGTGCAACCGGAGTCTTAAGTTAGAGGCACTGAATATGTGATAGCAAAGTCTTCAATTTACAAAATTTGTTAACGATATTAGGGTTGAAGTGCATGTTAGCAAATTTTTCATCTTATAATAATCGTGTCAACATTATAAATCAGGGAAACAGGTTAAAGACCCGTTTGTTCGACAGAACAGTTAAGTATAACAAGGTTTCTGAAATCACTCATTATCTGTATGATATTTGGTTATGTAGCTCATCTGTAAGGATCATGTGCTCTTTTCACATCTCATGGCGTCCGTCGTCGTCGTTGTCTGTCGTAGTCCGACTCAGACCGTTGAATTTTACAAAAACATTTCTCTGAAATTACTAAGCCAATTGGCAAAATTTGTTGACAATCATCCTTACCCATTGTGTAGCATCACCACCGTATATAGGTACACTCGAAGCGGTGGAAAAAAAAGTAAGGTTGAATTCTTATTTTATAAGAACTCTTAATTATATTCTACGTATTGCTGACAAGTAAAGATTTGTGATACTGATTCCTAATACTAGTAATGTAGCTACAATTTAGGGCTAATATGATCCTTAATTGGCTTTCTCTCCCCCGAAATCGTCAGAATCGGTCCGCGTGGTGCCTGTTCAATGTGACGAGTTCAAACTTTTTAAAACACATTTATCCTTCAAGTATTCATTTGAAGTTTTTGTAGAACAAAGTTATATCATATTCAAGCTTGAACAACACTGTATTTCGAAATAAACTACTGTTTTCAGGGAAATTCATGCGAATAAAGCCGATAAATTGTACGGCGAATAATTTTTACTGTACGGGGAATAGAATAGATACTTTTTGTTGTCATTGTTTCTTTGCTTTGGGGTAACCTATATCCGGTGGTGATGCTATACACTGTTACGTGTCTAGTTTGATAACCGCTTGCTAACCAAAATGGTTAAAAAAAGAAGACAGGGGTTTAAATTCAATTGTTGCTCATTATTGTGTATGTTTGTAAAACCGTTATAGAGAAAAACTGACAGAGCCGAAAAGTTATACATGTCAAGATGTACGTACCGTCCATTTTGACTAAAATTGTAAGACGACTCCTTATTGGAGAGATAAGCCTTGCATGACGATTTACACATATTAATTTTATGACTTAAATCGTCAGTCGACTCCTCGTAGAAGTTATTGCTCTTGAATGACGAATAAACCCATTTTTTCTGCAGAAACTATAGTAGATAAAATCATCATAGATACCAGGATTAAAATTGTGAACGCCAGTCGCAAGTAATATATTCCTGTGATAGAAAATCCTTAGTATTTCAAAATTTAAAAAATTTGTAAACAGTTAATTTATAGTTAAGACCACCATAGCAATGGATAGAGAGACAACTGTGAATAGCAAAAGTAATCAGCAACATGAATTCTTCAAATAAAGGTGATATTGTCAGTTTACACCTCATAGAAGTTATTTTCCATTGAATTAATATTTTACCCATTTTTTGCGGGTTTTTAGTAGAGACAATAGGAGAAAGAAACTAGCCAAAATAATCAACTAAGAAGTAAAACTGTCAATTATTGTCAGTCGACGTTTTATAAGAGTAATTGCCCTCAAATGATGATGCGACCTCTTTTGTTTTGTGGAAACATTCATAGTTGATACAGAGAAAAATGAACAGCTGAAATGATTAGCAGGACAAGATTTACAAATAAATTCAATGTGAGATCGTCAATTGACTCCTTACAGGTGTTGTTGATCCAATTTTTTTTATCTTTGTTTAATGTTTTCAAAACTATAATGGATTGACTAAACTTGGGTCAACAAAAATTATAATCAAGACAAGTTTTGGCCCGCACATTTTTCATTAAAGAAAATCAATGTAATGCAAAAATGCCAGGGGAGCGATACAGGCTTCATTGAGCCTCTAGCTTCTGTAATCGAAAGAGAATCTGTATGATGCAGCATTTTTTTGAAATATTTTGGAAATAACCATATACCATAGGAATAGACTTTGTTTGTATCACAGCTCTTCATTATAACAGTTCCTATAATGTCTTAAGCGAGAAACGAAGTACTCGAAACTTACAACAAAATAGATATATTTAGACTTAATACATTTAAAAGAATTTGAACAAATTTCATACGATCATATTTTTCCAGAATGCCTTCCAAGACCAGTAAGCATGGATAATAAATATATATTTTACATCTATGGAAGTTTTGCGGCAGTTTGGTTATTGATGATAGTAGAATCCTATGGACTCAGGATTAGACGTCTTGTTGCCGCATTCTTCTTTAGAAAGGTACTTTTATACAATAAGCAAGGACAGAGTTCATTTAATTGTCAAAAACAATATGACAGTTAGCACCGAAAAAAAGATGAAAATCACAATAATTTTGTTTTTATGTTGTCCTATGTATAAAATTATGTCAACAGCGCTTTTTGAGTTTCCTTGTTAGAAAACTGGGTTAATTTGCACAAAGTGTATGAATAACCATTTTCTGAACTTAATTTGAATTTCAAAGCCTTTAAAAACAATTCTAAAAATAAGATAGATCAGAAAATTGTTTTATGTCTTATGTCTACCGGACAAATTTTAAATTAATTGTGCATTTATTTTTCATTTATGTGTGTTCGGTGGTGAGTAGTCAATAAAATCTTGTACAAGTATTATCAAAATTTGATTTTTTCAATCAAGCTTTGATTATGGAGTTTAGAAAGATATGTATGCATATTTGACTGTAGTGGTTAAGTGAAACATATTTTATTCAACAGAGAGAGAAGGCTAGGATTTTGTATCTGTTTAATGATTTGTACAAAAAGAGAGATGGCTATGCACGACATATGAGACATGAAGTGAGGAGAATGGCCAGAAAGAAAACTTTATCGGTAAGTTATCACACTTCAAAAAGTAAAACCTAAATAGACGTAAAACTCGTCGAAGTTATAAGTATAGCAAAAACACAAATGTTAATTTGATTATATTTAGAGTATTTAATATAAAAATGAGGAGATGTGGTATATTCACTAGTGACTAAATGACATAGATGCAAGCTTGTTTAACGAATCGCAACCTACCAATACATAATTGGTAGATATATAATAGAGAATTATTGATACTCCACGTACCTAATGTTATATATATCTAGATTTAGAAAACTAGAATTTTTTTCAAGAATGTAAGACTCAACTTTGATTAGGAAGAAAAACAACTTACATTTGAGTTATTTCCTAATTCACTTTTAAAATATAATGTGTTTTATTTTGTTGCTTTTGTGTTTTTCCTAACAGGGATTGAAGATCAAGCACTGTGCACGTGCAACCTAATATAATCACAAATGAATACAATTAAACAAATTGATTTCCTGTTCTGTATATTTTTTTATGATCTGCACCGTATTTTTATCACAAACAAAATTACAACTAATTAGATGAATTTACATACTTATGAATGCACGACAAATATATAATTTGTGATGAACTCACGTACATAGGTACTTGGAACAGGACTATTCTTTAGTAACATCTCTGGGTTTTTTCTTACACGCAACATTTTTTCTCCCTTTTTTAACTTTGTAGAACAAAACGAGTTTATTAGGAAGTTTTCGTAAGGAATTCCCATCACTTTGCGGTTGGTTGAAAAGGTTTCAGTCAGGCAAGGAAACCTGTTTAATCTGTGGCGAACCCGAGTCTAAAAGTTTTATGAGGTGTAGAACAAAGGGATGTCCATTCGGGTATTGTGTTGAATGTTGGAAAGATGTAAAGGTAAGTAATAACAATTTTTCTGTACCAGGTGCGCATTTTGACAATAGATGTCTCTTCAGTGACGCTCAAGGCCTAAATATTTGAAAATCCAAAACTTATTAAAAAATGAAGAGCTTTTTTATGCACCAAAAAGGACATACAGTAAAGCCAAAGCCGAGAAAGGAATGAGAGCTCTGCATGAGGGAGATAAATTCCTTAATTTTTAAAAATTTTGAAATTTTGAAACATCAAATTTTGAAAAATTGTAAATATGATTAGATTTAATTAGAATCAGGATTGACTGCTTACACTTGGGAGAAAGTTGCATAATACCCTTACTTACATGACTACTTAATTCCTTTTAAATCAGATCGAAATGTATGAAATTATCTGCATTTCAAGCGCTGTGTCCGAATTTTGAAGTCAATAGCTTGGAAAGCCTTAGATCTATTAACACATATGGGGCATTATAAAAAAAAAATGACATAATTAAAAAGAAAGATTTAAAGTGATCAAGATGAGCAACCAACAACATTTGCATGAACTATGTTAGGTTTTTACTCAAGACAGAGGACGAAAAAGCAGACTAAATAATATGAGTAAACCAAACCGTTGTGAAATTGGTCCTTTTAGTTTATATCATAATAAAAGTACCTAATGTCAATTAAATGGTGTAAGGAATATAAGTATTATGAGTATTGTCAGTCTTTGTCGATTTTCCATATTAATATTATTTTTATTTCATGAGACATGAATAGGAACACAAAAGCATACATCGTACACCCTTTTATAATTAAGACATGTGAAAAATTGAAATAACAATTAGTTGACACGATCAAAATAAATCTGGTTCTAACACTGCCTTTGCAGTTTCGATGCTATGCATGTATGTATGAAGATTTCGACGACAGTGATCTGACTGAAGATGAATCTGAGAGTTCTGGGGAAGAGGAAGTTTGAGACACAGGTTAGATTGTTAACAATATCTAGAGTAATGTCTCCCTAGAAGGTGTCTATCTAGAGTAATGTCTCCCTAGAAGGTGTCTATCTAGAGTAATGTCTCCCTAGAAGGTGTCTAGGGAAGAGGAAGTTTGAGAGATAGGTTAGATTGTTTAAAATATCTATAGTGGTGTCTCCATAGCAAGCGTCTCATTATATTTTCAGTCACTGGACCCAAAATGTGATCATTAATTCATAAGTACTAAATCGAACGTTGTATTTCAAAGATAGCTAATGTATATTTATAAGATCAGAAAAATCCCCCAATACACACACTTACATGACCAGACATACACACACACACGTTGAAGAGCGCCTAACAAACACCGATTGTTCCTTTATTTCTTGACAGTGTTTTTTGTTTTGCCTGTATGTTTTCTAGTTCACTATTTAAGATATTTTATGTATTTACGCCTACTTTCCTTGTCAGTTTAAAACAGCAAGACACACCAAGCCCATTTAAAGACAATAAAATATCTGGAATTTTAGCCCATTTAAAGACAATAAAAATATCTGAAATTTTAATACAAACACTTTTACTGATAATGCTCAGCGTTTCTTTGCTTATATTCAGATTAATTCAATAACCTACTTAAGTAAATAATTTTAATTGTTTTATTATATTTATGTTATACAGTAAGTGGATATTTTGCAAATAGGTGGGTTTAAAATAAAAACTTAGCAAAACAAAATTGTGTTTATTTCAATTTGCATATATTTTGTGAAGTCGTTTATAGTCCAAAGTGGAAGGAACTAAAAAGGTATATTTCAAGGACTCTGGGGTAAGTTTTTTAAAATACGGTAAAAAAAAATCTGATGGTTTTTTACACAACATACAGAAATTAAATACACTGTATACTGATTTAAACAGAATCAGATTGCTGGAATCTAATTTGATGCATATTAAAACTTATAGCTCTGTATAAATGGAATTCGTTAATAAATTAAAGGATATTTATAGTAACTGTATTGAATTATGATTAAATAAAAAAAATATAAATATGATTACTTATTCTTTTTTTTTTCACCTTCCTATCCAAATAAAGTTGCAAAATCAAAAATACGTTACAGCAATGTATTGGTTGGTATATACTTATTTTCAAATATACTTGACATGAAATATGTAATTAAATATCTTTAAACTGATTTGTTCTGAAAATGAAAACGTTCGAAATAACTGCGAATAAAATCATTTGATCATGATAAATGTAAGGATGTAAATATAAGGAGATGTGATATGATTGCCAAGCGAATTCAAACGAGAAATACAACGACCAGATCTTTGATTAAACAATAAACGAAAAAAAAATACCGCAGACAACAAACAACGACTTTTACTGCATTACAGTCTTCTGACTAGGGACAGGTGCATCTAGAACTTTGGCGGTGTTAAAACTATAAAATCGGTTAGAAAGGGTTTTATTCATCAGTTTAGCACGAAGCACGCAACAAAACCGGTGCACAATTTCAGAAATTAAGGTCAAGTTCAAAAAGTCATGTATTTATATAAGTGAGTTTCTATCTGTGGAAATACAAATTTAGAGGATGGCCTTTATTCCGTATATTTTTAATGCTGAACCACTCATCGGTATTTTAGAATGTTTATCTATTCATTACTTGAAGAAGAAAAAACGTTAAAGATACGTAAAATGGGTGTTCATAATTACTTGGTCTAGAATTCATGGTTGCAAAATTTCGTTTTGGTCATACACTCGACTTTTTTTATGATACAATATATATAGTTACTACAACCAGCCATTGAGTACTTTATTTATGTAGTTGTCTTTTCATGTAAAAATAAACCAAACAGTTGGGATAAGTTATACTTATAGATAAAGCACTTGTTTTAAAACACAATTTGACTTATTACACCTATATATATAGATCTAAAACAATATGCATAATGTAACGTAAAAGTATTTATTTTTTAGATGAAAATGTCCGATGAAGAAAGATTTAGAGATGAAGAAGAGAAGCCAGTTAATATAAAGACTACACTCAATATGACATTACTGAGTTTTGGAAGTGCTCTGTTTGTCAACTATATTGCTGAGATTGTACAATTATCAGACCACTTAAATGTACCAAACAAACACATTGCCGTCATTGGAGCAATAGTACTGTCATCAGCAGCAATAACAATGATATTGTTGTATTCACTGGCGTATATGTTTACAAAAAGAGGACACGAACAGAAAACTATGGTTTTGTTTGTTGTAGCTTTTTCATGCTTGAGTATTGCAATTAGTGCTCTAGGTATTGTCATTGCTTCTACAGACTAATATCTTTGTTGTAGCTTTTCCGTGCTTGAGTATAGAAATTTGTGCTCTGGGTATTGTAATTGCTGCTACAGACATATCTTTGTGATATTATTTTAGTGCTTGAGTATAGCAGTAAGTTATGGGTATTGTTATTGTTGTATTAAATGTATTTACTCTGGTTGTAATGTGTATGTTGATTAACAATTATATGGTTATATTTTGTAGTATTATAGCAGTAAAACAGAAGTGCTTTTCTTTTTCTTTTTTTCTTCTATAGTTTATAGCAAGAAGACAATCGCCCCCTCCCCTTTTTGCAGAAAAAAAACTATTTATCGAAAATTTAAAAAAATGAAAATGAAAGAAGACACTGGCAAACTAACTTCTAGACTCTTAGACTATAGAAAAATTTCCTGTATGTCATTGTTATTTTTTTCCCCACTGTATCATTGGAATAATTTGAGATTTGGGGTACAAATCGAAGTGACAGCAACCAATTGAGACCAAAAAACAAAGTATCTTTGAAGTCAACATGCAGTCCTCAACCATTACCAGGTGTCTGTACAACAGGTTCTAACTGACCTCGAGTCTTGAATAGTTGTGAAGGAATTTTACAGAGAGTATCAAAGGTCTGCTATCAACACAACATTTTCAAAATAACAAAAAAAAATAAGATATGTTTAAAAACAACCCCGGCTCGTGAATTGGGACGGCCACATAGAAAGTGTTTGGGGGGGGGGATTATTCTCTGTGATTGGAACATCAGGTTTCCTTTAAATTCCTTTTTTCTTTCTTTTTTTGTGCTTTTTTTGTTTGTTTTGTTTGTGGTGTGAGGGAAAGGGGATTTTACTGATGCTTTTTTTTTTATAATAAATCAATAAAAACAATTATTCCCTTAACAAATTGTTTTTTTAATTCCTTTTACTGTAATTATTTTACAGCAATCTTTCAGTCCATAATCATTTTATTTCTGGTGTCTATCTGTAAAGAAATTCAATGTAAATCAATAGTTAGTTATATGATCCAAAAAAAAATATACATGGAGTAATATATCGATATGAATTTACTCTTTATATAGTATCATGAAATATAGAAAAGCAATATATTCAAATGACTGTTTTCTTGGAAATATCAAATGTTCTGACATATAGTTATTTTGAAAAATTGAGGGTTAAGTGACTTTATAAAGAGTAAACATCAGTAATTGTATTGTCAATCTTTATGTTGAAATGTTAAGGGCATACGATACAGTAGAGATCCCTCGTTGATTTTTTCTTTAAATTTTGGTAGAAGGTCAATTTCGATGTGTACTTTTGATATATGCAAAGAAAAATATACCTTCATGACTTACTTTTTGAGATAATTTGGTTCGAAATTTGCATATTTGAAGGAAATACCCTGAAATTTCATAAATAAGGACTTTTAAGGAAAGTACCAATACTTTTGAACGAACAGTCATAATTTAACCGGGTTTTTTGTAAAATGTTTCCTTGATCTATGGCATCAGCATGTTGTAACAAGTTAACGGTTGAAATTAATAATTATATCCTAAATTCTTTTAATACAAGTGAAATAAAGGAGTTGAAAATATTTTTGCGTCTACACTGAAGTGCAGAAAAAATTCTATCGTTGATTTTTTCTTAAAATTTTGGCGGAGCGTTCTTGAAACAGAACTTGATCGATTGCAAAAGAAAAAACTGGGGGTCCATGTGCTTGTTTTTTTCAATAAAAGCGATAAACCTTAATTTTTATTGGCAAACGGGACGTTTGCCAATAAGGCGCCAAACTACGTTGGAATAAGTTTTATTTTCAACAACGTCGTGAAATCTTTCCCGCCGTTCACTATACTACGTTGTCAATTTCAGTGGTAGAGCCAATGTGTTTTTTTAAACCAATGATATTAATCATGAAAATTAATAAAGCTGGCTCCTCGTAAAATAGCATCATATTTGCCAAACCTTTATGAATTGTTTCGAAACTTGGATAGAAAAGGTATTCTAGTAAATTACTTTTAGAAAATAAATGTTCGGAAACAAAACAGATATATATAATAAAAAAAATAATAATTTGTATCTCTGTCCGACATTAGTCATACCATTCATGTAGACAACACAGCTTGAACATAGTAGTAATTATTCAAAAGGCCCCGACATCACAAAATGTGCAACAATTGTAAAGTAAGGGGGGGTGATATAAAAATAAGGACATTTGGTATGATTGCAAAAGAGACAACTATCAACCATAGTTAAAACGAAGAAGATAAACGCTATTAAAGGTCACCCTACGGCCTTCAACATAAAAAAAAAAGAAAAAGAAAATGCCACACCGTATAGTCAGCTTTAAAAAGCCCCGACATGAAAATGTGACATAATTCAAACAAGAAAACTTACGACCTACTCTATAGGCATTACATGAACACAAAATCATACCCACATTAAATCGGGTCAGCTTAGTCAATTACAGTGTAGTATAACATTTCATACAGCAGTCGATATTAGAGCATAAAATTTAATGATTCTGTATCAATAGATAAGTTACCTAAGCTTGTCTTCAGGGTATTTTTTTTTATTACGGTACATATAATCATTGAATTACTTGTCTGTATTATACCTTCAATCTAGGAGTGAGTGCAACCACATTGTTTGTCCGGTCCAACAAATATTTTGTTTATCTGAGAAACTACTTTACAAAAAGACTTCGTATTTGGTCAGTAACTTAACATCAATGAGTTGCAACTCTGGTCTGTCAAATACCTAATTCTTGTGTGCCGATTTTTCTCTCTCAATATGTACATAGAGGATATGCTTAGCACATCAACGGGTGCGTTTTTGTTTTTGGTCTATAATACGGGGCTTATAATTGAGTCATTTTAACTGATAATTCTTCTTCATACACTTATATATTCCACGGGTTAAATTCTAAAAATGCCGTTAAACTCTTTAATGGACCTTTTCAAAGTCAGAAACAGTAAGATGCGCTGTCATTATTTATTACGTTTTTTCGTCATTTTGTTGATAGTCTCTTTTAAATTTATCCGTACAATTCTCATTACGATTTAGAGTTAGCCAAATGGTGAAGTTACTATATAATTAATTATGTTTTTTTTTGTGTAGTTGGGTTTCTCTCTCATCGACGTCTTATGTTTTTCATATCTCTTATTAATTTCGTATATGAAATAACAGACATACAAAATTAAGAATGTGGATTTGATTTTTTCCCATTCGAAGTTAATATTGTTGACTTCCTTATTAATCATGAATAAATATAACAATTCTCGTGATTTGGCCGATTTTCATTGCAGGTACTTTTTTCAAATTCGCGCAATCGGGATTATGACGTCAGTGGATTTCCGCAAATGTGACTACATCTAAAGCGACGTCGCGAAATGTAATCGTTCTTATTAGAAACATCGCGAAATTTCAACTTTCTGATTAACAACGTCGCGAAAACAACACGAAAAGTTTTGAAAACGTTATTATCTGCCCCTGCTACTGTATCGTATGCCCTTAACCCTTTCGCTGCCAAACAAATTGTATACAAAACCCCTTCAATGCCAAAGCTTTTTTTGATTGTCTTTACGATTACGCAAATAACGTCGACGTCATAATACAGGTTTGATAGCGCCAAAAGATTTAAACTGAAAATTGGCGGGAATTCAACCTTTTAATAGTTTATTTTCATATTACCGACTTTTGACTCCGGAGTTAATAATATTTAGACAGGTTACCTACTCTATTGTAAGATATTCTGGTCCCCGTTCGCGTAAGAGCAACTAGATAAAGTAAATTCAGAGACATATATGTCTCTGGTAAAATCAAGCTTACAATTGGTAAAACTTTTTTTTTTGGAAGAGGGGGGGGGGGGGGGGGGGGGGGGGGAATAAACTGATTTATGTTTTCTATACATGACAAACTAATTTCACTGATTGTAAGCTTGACCCTACTTCTTTCAGTTGCTCTTACTTGAATAGAGACCACTGAGAAATGTCCTACCACAGAGAAGGTAACCTGTTTAAAAATCATATACTTCAGAGTCGAAAGTCGGTAATATGAAAAAGAACTATTGCAAATTAAGTTATCACTACTTATAAAAGAAAGTTTGTGATTATTCTTTATGAATAATTTCATTACATGAGCTTGGGATACAAAAGTCAAGATTCATATCATACAATCATTTATCAAGAAAGATTTTTTATTCATCAGCGTTACATCGTCTGCTGTGTTTCTTATGACATGTTTTATGAACAACTTTACGACAGAGAACACATATAATTATATATGTTTCGACCTTTTCCTGCCACCAGGGACATATCGTACAGAACATACAGAACAATCTTTTTCTTTTCGATCCGGCAATTTTCTCAAATGTTGGTTATTTCTTTCATCATTCAAGACCCCAAGAGAGGCACGATTTCTTGTCATATGATCTTCGGAAAATGTCATCAATGAATAATTGTATAAAATGGAGGCGAGATCTAACATTGTGAGAGTTCTCTTAATATAAAACTTCTATCGTACCTTAATATGAAAAATGATGTGTTCTTAATTCTTGACAGGCGTACAATAATTATTCACTGTAATTGTAATTTAAAATTTTATAATTGTTCACAAAGTTCTGAGGATTGTGTGCGCTTTTTTTTTTCTTTCTTTTTTTAATAAAGACTATTATGGAGGGATAATACGTCGAGAGAAGGGACAAAATAATAAATGAGTAAACACATGAACCGATCGAAGTTAGATTTTTTGTACCTCTTGTATCCAACCCCTTGATTTATTATTTCTGTTTAACTATTTGGCCTTTCCTATCGTATGCCGTATATATAAATATAGTCTCAAAAATTTGAAGGCAGTAAAGTTTTTTCATTAAAATTTATTCCATGCATAAAAATTCACTGGTGTTTTTTTAAAGGAACATGGGCTTAAAACTACCTGTTTGTTTTCCAGACAAACTTCTTCATTGAATGAATTGTTGAAAATCAGCATGAAATAGGCAATGGGTCTGGCATTTCTCGGCACCATTCTTTTATGTTCTACATTTCTAAAATTGTGTGTGATCCCTAACTTCGGCCGAAGGATAAACTCGAAACCACTTGAAGGGTTAGGATAAGCCATAATCCGATGGATGCATTAATGGATGACGTCATTAGCTCAATTACGTCATTAATGTGTGTGACAATATGATGGGCTTAAAATATATATATATATATATATATTTATATTTATATTTATGATTATATATTCTCAAAATGTTTATTAAATTGAATAAAATAAATACAGGGGAATATCTATTAAGAAAATCATGACCTTGGGAAAGGTTGTTTTAATTGACCACTAAGTTGCATATAACTTTAAAAACATGTTTACATGCAAACCAGATGGTGACATGTTGTAATAACAATTAGTTAAAATCTGGACATACGTGTATTCTACAACTATCAATTTCCAGCTTAGTCAAAACATGTCAATTAGAGTCAACTTAATAGATATTCATCTATGTACCTTTAGAATTAAAACTATTATTGTCAAATTAATAGAAACTTTGACAAACTGTTATATTCTGTATATATACCTATGTATTTACTGTATGGGACACATCGGCTCATTTGGCGTAAATAAACTGTTAACTAACTATCTTGTTGTGTTACACAGTCTTTGTGGTGTACCGTGCCAGGACGAATTCTAAAGAAAGGTACAGTGAAATTTTATTTGATAATCTTAATTATTATATTCTCAAAAATGGCTGAACAAGAATTTAATGTAGGGTTAGTTTTTCAAAATTTAGCAACACAAGTTCAAAGTCTTACTCAAAAATTAACTGCAAACGGTGTCAATTCGATAGTTGAAGGCTTTGATGGTTCAAATTCAGAAAAATATTCTCAATGGATTCGATCCATAGAAAAATATGCAATGATTACCAATTTAAATCCGAACGATTGTAAAATGGTATGTTATCAAACTTCTGTAGGGCCAGTAAGTGATT